GGATAGTCTCCCATATCCCTTCATGGTGATCACTTCTTATAACATGTTTATCATCTACTTTATCTACCACATGTAAAATTGGTAGCCCACTTAGGAAGTTAGGAGTTTTAAAAATATCAAAATTTGATTCATGATCATCATCACTATCAATCACCTTTTTTTCTTTAAGTATTATTGAGCAATTTTTATTTGCTGGATCCATAACATAGAAAACTTGTTTAGCTTGGTTTACCATAATAAATGGCTCATCTCCAAAAGTTAGTTTTTTAAGATCAACTATTGTAAATCCTAACTTATCATTATGAATAATGTTAATGTCAACCCACTTGCATTTGAAAACAAGAACTCTAAATTTTATAAAATCAACCTCTCAAATCTCTTTAATAACTCCAAAATAAGTCGTAGATGCTAGTTTAGGCTTCTTATCTTTTGAACTAGAGAAGTGTACGGCTTCAGCCATTATAATAACTCTACTATTTTACACTGTACTCTTCTCATCCAAGGACTTTGTATAAAAGGAATACCCATTAATATCATAGGCACTCTAACATATAACATTAAAGTTAGGACCTCCAGCCAACCATTTAACTATATCAGAAACACCACTTTCATTCAAAATTTTCTGCTTGAACTAGTCTACAAAAGTCCTATTGTGCTCTTTCAACAATTTTTATTCAATCATTCTCATTCGATAATTTTTTACCTTTAGAAGTTCTTTATGAGAAGATATGTAATGTTTAACTTTTTCAATATTATTCAAGATATATAAATGTACTTCTTATAATTCATCATGATTCATGCTCTTCATTGATACTCTACATGTGCCTTGACCATATTGCCTTTTCTCATGATGAGATTTAGAAAGTCTAATTGATTCTATACTTGATAAGTAATCAGAACAAAACTCCATAGCTTTTTCAGTAACATATTTCTCAACTATTGATGCTTCAGGTTGATATGGATTCCTGACATACCTTTTCAGTATTTTCATGTATCTCTCAACTGGGTATATCCATCGCAAATAAACAGGACTACACAATTTACTTCTCTTACTAGATGCACTATTAAGTGAACCATAATATCAACAAATGTAGAAAGAAAGTGCATCTCAAGTTGGCACAAGATAGTACAAGCTTCTTGTTCTAACTTTTCTAATTTACGGGGATCAATAACTTTACTGCATATAGCATTAAAAAAGAAACAAGTTTAGTCATTGTAAGTCTTAAATCTTCTTTTAATATACCTCGAATAGCCAAAGGTAATAGCTGTTGTATCAAGACATGGCAATTATGAGATTTTAAACTTATCGGTTTCAACTCTTTCACATATACAAGCTTCATACTATTTGAAGAATACCCTGAAAGAACTTTAATTTCATGTAAACACTCACAAAAACTTGTTTTCTCATATTTGCACAATGTATGAGAGGTTGGGGGACAATAAGTTCATTTACCTTCTGGTCTTAGGTGTAAGTCTTCCTGTATTCCTATTTCTTTCAAATCCAATCTTGCATTCACACATCCTTAATCTTACCTGGTATGTTCAAAAGCATTTCAATAATACTATCACACACATTTTTCTCCATGTGCATAACATCAATATAATGCCTCACTTCAAGATTGTGCTAATATAGGAGGTCAAAAAAGATAGACATTTTTTTTCATATGTTTTTTGTACCAATATTTTTTTTAGTCTTACCGAAGACAATATTAATATTTTTCATACGTTCATACACTTGATCCCCAGTCAAAGCATCTGGAGTATCATTGTGTTCTTGATGACTATGAAAATCTTTCTTCAATTTATGATACGCGTGATCTCGTCTAAGAAACCTCTACGGCCAAGGTAAACTGTCTTTATTCCATGTTGAAGTTGATGGTAGTTTGTGCTTTTTCACAAATTGGACAAGCTTTATGACCTTTCACACTATAATCAAACAAATTTTCATATGCAGGAAAATCATTTATAGTACAAAAGATCATAGCACGTAACTTAAAATTCTCCTTCTGATTTGCATCAAACACTTTCAAATCTTCAATAAGAGGTCTTAGGTAAATATCAATATCATTTTTGGGGTATTTTAGTCCCGAAATCAATATAGATAACATTATGTACTTTCATTTTATGCACAACTTAGGTGACAGATTGTAAATTACCAAAAGAATAGGCCATGAACTATGTATACTACTGAGACTACCATAAGGATTTATTCTATTGGTAGAAAGTTTGAGTCTCAAGTTCCTTAGCTCATTGCCAAATTCAAGAAATAAATGATCAATTTTCTTCTATTGAGGAGAATCGGCTGGATGTCAAAGTTTTTCATCAGATATCCTCTCATTTGCATGCCACATCAAATTCTTCACATTATTAGTATTTGTAAACAAACGCTTAAACTTTGGTATAATTGAAAGATACCATAAGACCTTTGTAGGAGCCCCCTTCTTTTTGTATCATGATGCCTCACATTTCGGACACTTCTCCTCCCCTTCAAGCTCTTTTTTGTACAACACACAATCATTAGGACATACGTGTATTTTTTTATACTTCATACCTATTGGACACAATATCTTCTTGGCATCATAATAATGATTTGGTAGTGCATTGCCTTTCAGAAAAATTATTTAAAGTAACTCTAGCAACCATGTGAAACTTTGGTCACTCCACCCAGCTCATGCCTTTAAGGTAATCAGTTTTAACACCCCAGATAACAAACTAAAATCAGTGTACCCCGGATATAGAGGCTTCGTTACGTCAGTGCACAAGTTATCATACGCATATGCTCGTTCAAAAGTCTCTTCCCCAATATCACAGATCATGTCCTCTGACCGATCTTTATTCATTTCTACTCTATCATCAAGATTATCAACTTTCACATATTGAGATGTATTATTATAATTTTTCATGAATTGTTCACCATGCCAAATCCATATCATATAATTTTTATAAATCCCATCACAAACCAAGTGCTCTCTTATTTCGACAACAACTAGTCTCCTCTCATTCAAACAATTAATACAAGGATAATAGAACCTTTCACTACTATCAACAACATTTTTCTTAGCAAATTTCAAAAATTCTTTCACCCCATTATCATACTCATCATTTGTTCGTCTAGCATTCATCCAACAATGATCCATGTGTCACCTCCTAAAGAATATAACTAATGTTATTACCTTCAAACTATTTCAAGAAACTAAATTCCTAATTAACTTAAGATTTAAAAAAATTTCGGCAGAGTCTTCCGTGAAAATTGGATTTCTCAAGATTTTTTAAAAAAATTTATAAGAGAAAATTGATAATTTTAAACCAAATAAATGATTACATGTAATAATCTGAGGCCTTATAAAGCTACTAACAGCACTCCCAGCAATAATCAATATCATTAAAAACTAAATTTAGGCAATTTAGAGGAAAGAATGAATTCAAAAAAAATTTTGACAGAGTCTCTTCAAAAGTTTTAGAAAATTTTACATGAGAAAATTAACAATTTTAAATCAAATAAATGATCACATGCAATAACTTGAGACCTTATAAAGCCATTAACAATACTTCCAACAACAATCGATACTATTAAAATCTAAATTTAAACATTATGAAATTTAAAAATTCAAATTCAAGACATACCCGGGTGGCGGTAGTTGCATCAATGACTTAGCACTAAGAGAGTGAGGAGGGGAGAAGAAGTGGTGGTAGGGTAGAGGCACTGAGGAGGGGGGAGGGGAACAGAGGGGGAGGGGGCGGTGAGAAGGAGGGGGAGGGGGAGGGCAGGCAGTGAGGGGGAGAGGGAGAGGGGGCGCCGGCTACAAAAGGGAGGAGGGGGGGAAATGAGAGAAAGGGAGAGGGTTGAAGCAGAGCAAATGAAGGAAAAGGAGATTATGCAAGTTTGTGTGGGAAGAAAAAGGAGGGTAATTTAAAAAATTTTCTACACCGAGTGGACCTCTAATTGATGTAAAAATAAATGTTTTACACCAGGTGGGACTCACTTTGTGTAGAAAGTTAATTTTCTACACCAGGTAGACCTCCACCTAGTGTAAAATATGAACTTTTTACATCGGGTGGAGTCAGCCGGTGTAAAAAGTGAGCTTTCTACACCAGGTGAACCTCCAACTGATATAGAAAAGCAACTTTCTACACCGAGTGACTCCACTCGGTGTAAAAAGTTTGGTTTTTACATCGGGTGGCCTAGTATAAAAACTATCAAATATTTCAACATAATTACAAAAATATTATCGCCTCAATTTTTTATACTATTTGCCTTTCAACTGATATAAAAAGTATCTCATAAATTTTATATTTTATACTAGTGAACAATCCAAACCAATTATTAAAAAACAAGAGAGAAAAAATTTTTATATCTAGTTACTTATAGAAATAATTAGATACAATAAATTTAGAGAAACAGACTGCGTAAACAATAAATAAAAATATGAATGCAAAAGTTTTTGCAGTTATTGGAAGTCTATGATTTATATATCTATGTGTATAAAATAAACAGTCATATCAGTTACTCCCTCTATCAAAAAATATGAGATAATTTTAGTATTGCAAGATGTAATTGGTATATTTTTTTAAAAAAATATTCCTATAAATAAATTATTTTATATTTATTTTAGAGTAAAATATTATATTAAGCCGAAATAAATACAAAATGGTGATGTTAATTTAAAAATAAATAATTATTTTACTGAGAAATTTTTTTTATTAAAAATACTTTATATGTTTTTAATAATGGAGAGAGTAAGTCTTAACTCTGGTGTCAAAGGAAGAATAAAATATGCGATGGTTCAATAAATACCCCGTGAATACTTATTTTAAATTTCCGTTATACAGTACGCACTGCGCACAGAACTACAATCATCTAAAAAAAAAAAAAACAACTTATTAACGCAATCAAAACGGTTTTTCTTTGTTTAATTTCCCCCAAACCGCCTATTCTCTTCTCCTCTCCCCTGTTACAACACTCTGTCCCAGTCCCTATATATACTCTTAACAAACTCCACCACATTTGCCTCACTCCACACCACGAAAAGCACTCCTCAATTTCCTTCCCTTGCTCTGCCCCCGTCGAGCAATTCATCAAACACTCGCCACCATGACCACTCACATCGATCACATGTGGCTCTTGGCCGTAGCTTCCAAATGTACTCGCACCAACCTCTTCTGGTCCCTCTTCTTCCTCGCCATCCTCCTCTGGTTCATCATCTCCCTCTTTCACTGGTCTCACCCCGGTGGTCCTGCTTGGGGCAAGTACTACTCCACCACAAAATCCAAACCAACTAATCATCCACCTTCTGCTTCTTCCAGTTCTCCATTACCAATTCCTGGACCGAAAGGGCTGCCTCTGTTTGGCAGCATGAGTCTTATGGCTTCGCTTGCTCACCGCCGCATCGCCGCCGCCGCAGAAGCTTTCGGAGCCAGGAGGCTCATGGCCTTCAGTCTCGGCGAAACGAGGGTGATAGTCACGTGCCACCCGGACTTGGCGAAGGAGATTCTGAACAGTTCGGTGTTTGCGGACCGACCCGTCAAAGAGTCGGCGTATAGCTTGATGTTTAATAGAGCTATTGGGTTCGCTTCCTATGGGGTTTACTGGCGGACTCTGAGGAGGATCGCCGCCACTCACCTCTTCTGCCCTAAGCAAATCAAGGCGTCGGAATCTCAACGGTCCGAAATCGCCGCCCAAATGGTGGAAATGTTCGTAAAAAGTGGCGGAGAGGGCTTGCGAGTTCGCGAGGTGCTGAAGAAGGCGTCCCTTAATAGCATGATGTGTTCGGTGTTTGGACAGCGTTATAGGCTGGACGAGTCGAACAGCGAAATGGTCGAGCTTGGAGCGTTAGTGGACGAAGGGTACGACTTATTGGGTACCCTTAATTGGGCGGACCACCTGCCCTGGCTGGCCGATTTCGACGCTCAAAAAATCCGGTTCAGGTGCTCCCGACTCGTCCCCAAGGTGAACCGCTTCGTGAGCAGAATCATCGCCGACCACAGAGCCCAAAAAACCCAAACGAACCGGGATTTCGTGGACGTCCTCCTATCCCTCCAAGGACCTGATAAATTGACCGACTCCGACATGATCGCTGTACTTTGGGTGAGAAGATTTCTTTTAATTTATACTTCGTTCGAGAATGCGCCCACCCCCTGCTAGCAAGTGAAACTAAAATATTTTATTTATTTTTGGTTTTTGTAATTTTTAAGGAAATGATATTTAGGGGGACAGACACAGTGGCGGTTTTGATCGAGTGGATACTAGCGAGACTAGTGCTTCATCCTGATGTGCGAGCGAGGGCTCATGCAGAGATCGACAAGGTGGTAGGGAGGTCACGTGCCGTCACTGAGGCGGACGTGGCAGCACTGGTGTATTTGACGGCGGTGGTGAAGGAGGTGCTGAGGTTGCACCCTCCGGGCCCACTCCTGTCGTGGGCCCGCCTGTCTGTCACTGATACAACCATTGATGGGTATCACGTCCCCGCGGGGACCACAGCTATGGTCAACATGTGGGCCATCTCGCGGGACCCACAAGTATGGAGTGACCCGTTGGAATTTATGCCCGAGAGGTTCGCCGCCAAGGAAGGAGAGATGGAGTTCCAGATATTCGGGTCGGATCTGAGGCTCGCTCCGTTCGGGTCGGGCAGGAGAGTTTGCCCGGGCAAGACTTTGGGTTTTGCTACGGTGTGCTTTTGGGTGGCCACGCTTCTGCACGAGTTTGAATGGGTACCGTCGGATCAAAGTGAAGTTGATCTCTCAGAGGTGTTGAGGCTCTCTTGCGAAATGGCCAATCCTCTCACCGTGAAAGTACGCCCTAGGCGAGGGTTAGGGACAAGCCATTGTTAAATAAGTTAATATTAAGTTAAAACTTATATATTAAACGAAGAAGGATAATGGGTTTTGGCCTGCGATGGGTACTAACTACTAAGGTTTTATGTTTTCAGAACTTAAAAAGTTTGAAGTACGAATCTTCTATATAGCTCTGTATTATGCAAGATATGAGCAATGGCGTTGTAAATATTGGTGAAATTAACACAGTGTTGTGAGTTTAATTTATACCGCCTCTCTCACCCTCACATGCTGATAAACAAAACAAAACAAAACAAAAGATAAACTAGCGAGAAGCTCATCATTCTTTATGTTTTTGGCACAAGCGACAGAGGCTAGAGGGATACCATTACCAGCAATGTTCAGACCCAAAAACAAACAAAAGAAAGTGTCAAAGATCATAATGCTATACTTCCGGGGATATGATTCTGTTAAATAAATTTTTTGTTTTATTCTTCCGGTGAAAAGCTTCTTTAACCATCAAATGTCAATGTAGATTCACTCGCACGCTACAAATAACTTTATCAGAACTCAGATATCTTCTAACGGTTACTCACCACAAGAACTTAAAATTGAACTTTTAGCATGGCATATATGAATGGAAGGGCCAGAAGAATTTTAGATACTAAAGAAATCTGTCAACTTAATATCATCTTGAATAGGAATCTTTAAAGCAAAAGTGAGAACACCACACCACACAATTGATTTGGTGACATTACACGATTAGACTGACAGATATTATGCAGATGAGTTTATTTATTCCCACTTAACGTCTTAAAATATTATTCCTGATGATAATGAAACTTTATCTCGTTCTCTAATCTTTACTGGTCGTTGATGCCAATAATTTAGATTTCTATTTAACTCAGATTTCAGATGCAAAAGCATGATAACTGGAAGGATCTTTTGACATCAACATGTGTATCATACACAAAATTACTCCAACTATACAGAGCTGGAATGGGAAAGTGCCATCATGTAACATCACAATGGCAAGAATCTGATCCAAACCCATCATTCAGCAAACTAAACCCTGTATAATAACATTGGATGCTTCATGTTAGTCCTTTCTGTCTGTTTCTGTTTCCAAATGGGACTTGGTAAAAAACAAAACTGATACTAAAATGTTCCTTTTTTAGCCACATACTGCAATGCTTGTTCCATGGAACATACAAGTGTGAATATAACGGTGAAAGTTGTTCAAGTTAATAAAGATGCAACTTATATCTTGATGTGAGGCCATTGTTGATGGATAATTTGTAAATATCTCAACAAATATTTATTGAGTCTTGAGACTTATCTTGACTCTGATGGGTCTTCAACTCCCAACTTGTCTAAATTTTCGTTGATTAAAAAAAAAAAAATACCTCTGTTTTATCTTAGCGAAGATCAGAAGATCCGTGTAGTCTGCATCGATGCAAATCTATCCTGCTCCTACAAAGTACATAGTTACCTCTGCTTTTCTAGGTAACTGCGACTCTTGCAGACACATGTAGCTGTCCTTCTTGGTTTCTTCCACCTATTTCTCTACATATTGTTGTTGACTTGTTTATCTGTCACAAACTGGACCACTGTAACTTGTGCAAAATGTTCAAGTTTGTCTTTGAGGGTTTCTCTGTAATTGACAGAAGAGAAAAGGTGCAGTACTCTTAACTCAATTTTAGCACATGCAGAAGAGAATACCTCTTTATTGCTATGCTTGTTTCTGAATCTTCTTTTCTATGTTAGGACAGTTTCAAATCAGCTTCAAGTAAAGTGGGCTTCTTCCCATTTGAATAAATGGTTACTATCATGATGATGATTACTTATGATTTTCCATTCTTCATATATATAGCTGTACGACCAAGATCCATAATTAGTGAGCTTTTTTTAATTCTTCTTATATCAACTAATACATTATACATTGATAGACTGATAGTATCTAAATTAAAAAAATGAACATAATTAAACAAAATCAGAATTCTTTTAAGCACTAAACTACAACTTGGGAGCAACATATATAATTTGAATACCACAGAATGCTAAATCAGTCTCTTCTTCTCCCCTTACTTCATTGTGTGGTTTTAAAACTTTTCTCCTTGAATAAGAAAGTATTTGAGCTAAACAAAGTGAAACCTAGGGAAAAAAAAGAAGAAAATATTTTAGCATACATGGAGATCATGGCTACAAAATTGTAGAGTCAGACTCGCAGGATAAGAACTGAGGCTATCTTATCAAAAGAAGGATGTTTGTTTTCCTCATTGGGGACCAGCCAGTTCAATATGATGTTCCAACTTTTTGGGAAACAATGTGAATATTGCAGGGGACAGCTTCAACCCCATGCACGACACAGAGATAAGGAAATTGATGTTTTTGTTCTGTCTGACTTCTGTTTTCCCTCCCTTTCGTTCCTTTCTCATTGGAAAATAGAATATATACTATATGTATCCTGTGTAACCTCAGCAGCGTTACAACGTACGAGTCATTCTTGGCTAACAAGGATACAACTTTGAGTTCTTTCTGCACCTTTCTGACTATTTCAAGCGTCTGGTTTCACTGACGTTCTCTTTTTGAAGACAGTTAAAACTTGTATCATTATCATTAACTTTATATATACGGTATTTATAAGTATTTACTCTCAAATGACAGTAACATAGCATGTTCATTATTGTCACATCAACTTTTGCTTAAACCCTGATTTAGTATTTAAGATCACTAGATCAACTGCTAAGATAGAAGCTTTTGACCCCCTTTAGTTATGATTATGCCTTAGTCATGTACAACTAAGCAATCTTACTTTGTAGAAGGCTGCTTTACATCATTGTAAGTACAAAGTATTGAACTTAGATAAGATTAATCAGATGACCATGAGCAGAACTAGATAAGAGAAATCAATCACCAATTGCTTTAATTAATCCTATTTCTCCTTTCATTGAAAAAGGTATTTGAAACTTTAGTAAATGCTAATGAAAGACGTAGATTAAACAGTGAGGCCTCATGTGTACAATGCTGATCAGTTGTTTCTCCCATTTGGTTATGTCATTAAGAGGAATGAAACAACATGTAGAGCCCTTGACAATGATGTAACATAGCATTTAGATCTCTTTCCTCTGTAAATTTGATAGGGACTTGCCAACAGTTCATGAAGTTAAATGCTTCAATTATAAAACATGAACCTCTCTCTTACTAAAGTCTTGCCCTGTATCTCACAGAACCCGGACACTAACCTGAATCGACCACAAGGAACAGAATCATGACTTGGCGTGTTTGGATAAGGAAATGAAACAAAAGATAAAAAGTTGCTCCATCTATAAGAAGGAACGATTTGGAGGATTAGCGGAATATTTATCCATTCACCTACTCACTTGTATAAAACTGTCAAATAAGGAAGACGTAGCAGTAAAATATTTCCCCTCGATCATCTCCAATCCAAACATAGTCTTAAATTATCATAAACTTAAAGCAATGTATATTATATACTACGTTGACATCTATACTACAGTCATAAAGACGAGAATCTTTCTCCGCAAGCCTAGCCAAAGGAGGCCTAGAAGACAAAGTCAGAGACAGGATAAAGTTAGGTGTAATCTGTGCAAGGTTTTCACAACAATCTTGAGAAGGGATAAAGCCCTACAAAGAAATCCACAGAGATCTTTGGTATTTAAGGGTTCTTCATGGCTTATTAAAGAGTGAACCACTTTTTTTTTCCGGATCAAACCACTAGACATTCGAAAGCCACATTAGACTATGATTAATCTAGGTGGAGCTTGGAAGGACCACATGGATAGCAAAACTTTTCAAATGAGTATTTAATGCAACCACATATTTAGAGCTTGAATCACACAATATTTTTTAAGTTTTATTGAATATATATGGAGAAATTATATATTGCCTGTTTGGATAGTTCTTTTGGAACCTCAAATTTATTTTTTCTCAATATTCGAGACTAATATTGTGAGAGGTAATCAATTAAAGTGGATGGCTTTTGGGGGGGAAAAAGGCCAATGCATTTTTCTCTATTTTCAAATCTATAAACCTCCTTTGGAAATAAAAGTCTAACAAAATTCAGAGAATGTCCGAGTCCATACAGTTTTTATGGAAGTTATGAAAATAAACTAGTGCACTGTATTGAACACAAAAAACCAGAAAACTTTGCAACGTGGGGGTGCCCAATAATACAGGGTTAGATGCATGCACAAAAGCAGATGTACAAATAATGGTTAGTTGTTTGGGAGTGAGAGATTGTGCGAAGAGACAATGCATTATAAGGAAGAACACAGACAACGTTTAAATGACGATTCAGACACAAACGTCCCCCACCACCTTTTCCGACAATCCCATAAGCGTAAGAGTCTGTTGGGTGCAACTTGACCGTTTGTGGCATCATTATCGGATTAGCCCTCCATCCAATTAATGTGTGATTAGCATATTTACATATCCCCCAAATCTCGCAATTCTTTCCAGTTTCCACACACTATCACTGAGAGACAAATCAAAACCAGTAACTCTTCTTGCTTAGTGCTGCCATTTCCTGCAATAATTTTTGTGATCATTGTCTATTTTACACAGCATTTGTTCTCTCACAAGTAAACGACACACACACCATCGAACATTGATTGTCTTTTCCTCTTCCTTAGCTTTATGTGTGGATCACTATAAGAATTATTGGTCTTTTTTTTTTTTTTTTGGCCTTTGATCTTTCCAATTATTTTCAGCATAGCCGCCTGGAAAAACCATACATATCGGATTAAAAGCAATGCGCAAGGCCAGGTTTCTACTTTCAGCAAGTAGTTAACTTATCTGTGCCTATTATCAGACACTGAAGTCTCAGGGTTTAAAGTTGGCTTCCCTGCTCCCCCCCCCCCTTTTTTTAAATATCCAAATTAAATTTAAATGGTCTCAATTTATTTTAACAATTTCTTCTTGAGTTTTAATATTTCTTTTAATTCTGAAATATGTATGACCTAGAATGAACGTAATTTTTTGACTTCACCTTTAAAAAATGATGCCTGATCAACAAGTCAAGGTTGAAAATTAATATCAAATTACTTATATTTCATGAGAGTAGGTGAGAAAAGAAGTTAGTTTGGTCAGATATCTTGTTTTGGCAAGTAATTATCTAGCAAATATTGTCAGATACTCAAAAAAACCTGGCGTGATGAACCTGTTCTAAATAAAATAATTATTATTGGTTTTGCTTACTAATAACAGAAGATTAGAGTGCCTTTGAACACCTGTTCTAGATTAAGCTAGCAGCCTGCGAAATAGTTTATCTGCCAAGCTTCGTTCAATGACTCAAGTGTTTTAATTTGATAGGTCATAGACAAAGTCATAAATTTTTTCGGTCAAGTGGTCAAAATTCCGAACTTTGTCCATGTCGTCCTCAGCGTTTTCTTAAAAAATAAGTAAATAAATAAATAATAAAATCACGTTGTTTAAAGAACTTGCTTGTGAAATGCTAGCAATCAGCCCATGAAATGGCAACGCAAAATTTGAGGTAAATGCTGCCTTATTTCCAATTTTAGGGTTATCGTAGCCAATTTTTAGATCTCTTTTCTTTTTAGGCTCTATAGTCTTATTTTCTATCTATTTATTTTGTATTTGCAAAAAAAAAAAGCCAAATTTTGACGAATTTTAAGTGGTAATAATTATGGTATTACGGAGAAACCCCCTTCATGAACTTCTTCCAAACACCAGCATTAGTAAAATCGCTTTTGCATGTGATCCACGACTTGAATGAGATTCATTCATGAATTATTTATTGTCTTCAATTCTGCATGTTAAATTTCACCAATAACAAAGTTTGATCAAATTAATAAAAGATTTTTCAGAATTTAAAGAGAGATAAGGGGCATTTTTTAAAAAAATAATGGAATAGGAAAAACCTTTAACAGTTTCAAGGCATATGTGACAACGCATAAATTAAAGCCATAAGACAAATGCATAAATTATTCAAACATTCATTGCACAAAAGTTTGACCAAGTTGCTAGGCGTAGGACTTGTCAAAAGGGTAAAAAATGAAATTGAAAAAAAGGGGATGGTAGAATCTTAAAAGGAATTAAAGCATGTAGTCATGAAAAGTAACTCCCTTTGTCACCTCCCAATCAAAGGACACACACACCCACAAAATCAAATAATTTAATATCCTATAATTCCTTAATTTCATTTATAAAGTTAAAAAAAATACATTTTTTAGTTCTATTTATAAATTATATTATTAATTTTTTAATTATTTAATAATATTAGTAAGAGAATGTATATTATCAAAAACATGTATATTTAATTAAAAAAATTAAAAACTTATTAAATTTTTAGTTAAAATTAATGATTTTTAATTTTTTTATTTTAATAAAATATATTAAAAATGAGTTATATAGAGAGGAATAAAAAGAAGAGAGATTGTAGTGTTTTTCAAACATTTTGCACGGCTAGACAACAGCTATTGGAACAGTGAAACAATGACAAGTGATATGACTCAAAGCACTGCCCTTTTTCTTTTCTTTCTTGTCCCATTCTCAAAGGATTCAACCCAACCCTGTTCTAACATCCCACTTCGTTCCTCTTTACTTAAAGTGTGTGCGCTTTTTTCTTTTTAATCTTTTTAAACAAATAAGTGAGGTCATCTCCAAAGCCAACAGTCTTTTCCTTTCTAGATACACATTAAGCAAAAAAGGATCCAAAAAATGGGTCGTTAGTAAAGAGCTAGAAATAAATAAAATAACCAAAGTGGCCGAAACCAAACATATATGTTTTTTTTTAATGGATCTTTACCTCTGTTTTTTTTTTTGGGTACAAAGCTTATCTGTCTTTTTATCTCTTCCCATTTCATCCCATTATATATTTCAAGAAATTTAAATTATTATTCCAATCACTGTATTTAAGTTTGACTTAATTCAGTTAGATTTAAGTCATTCAGAAGAAATAAAAAGGTTAGGCTTCGATTTGTTAAAAAAAAAAAAATCCAGTGAGGGTTGGATTGGATTGGTACAACAAGACAACATGGGGCGATTGGGCCGAACCCTTATACCCTTTGATTTAAAGCAATTTTACATATTTATATAGAAACTTTGTGAGATAAATTATAGTTTTGTAAGAATTTTTTTTAAAGAGTTATTGTATGGTTTTAACCAAAAAACTCACAAAAAAAAAAATCGGTTGGTATAAGCTACAGACGAACTGAAACAGTAAACTTGCTTTTTTCACTTTATCTTTCAAAAGTCGACTGGACAACCTTATTTATACCAGCCAACAAGGAGGCCTAAAGTTCTCAAAATAATTTTATTTTACAAAAATAACGCACTGGTTAATATCAGCAGATTCACTGCTTGATTTAGTAATTTGTTTGGCCAAAATAGAATGGGAGAAGCAAGATTTACCATCAATCATGCCTCTGCCTATTGAAACCATACCATTTCTAATATTTTAGAGTGGGGAACCAAACTACTCTAGATTTTGAAAGAACATGAATGGCGCTACGTAAGTATCTACCTCAAGAGAGTAGTATCTCACGAAAAAAAAAAAGAAAGTTTACTTTGCCAAACAAAATATCATAAAAAAAAGATTGGCCTTCGGCTAGCTCTTCTCGGAAAATCATCACATGGGCTCATGGATTGTTGTTGGGTTTCCACAGAGAACGAGCTCAATAAGTTGATAAAAAAACTCTCTTTTTGGGGCCGAAAACTTCCTCAACCTCATGTAACTGAGAAAAATCTTACCTGTCGACGGCTAACTTCATCTTAGGTAAGAACACCTTAGGTAAGTTGTTCTTCGAAATTCATCAAGGTGAGAAAGAACGCACAACTTAAAGCATTTATAAAAACACTTATTAATTATAGGTCAATGAAACTCTCCCATTGGCAACACACTCAAACCCACACTTACGTCAGGTATGGATTAGATCTTTTATCAATTGAATCAACCTCATTGATTGACTGCAGAGTACTACTAGATTGGTTAATTAATTTAAAATCTATTTTAGATGTGAATAGGAAACTCAAATCACATTAAAAGCACAAGCAACATAATGAACAATGCGGTCATGAAAGCTAGGCCTTGCAAGCATGATCATGTGATAGATAGAACAATCACTATAACTGATACTCAAGAACAACAGAAATCTACGGTTCTGCAAACATTAAGGATTGTAAATACCAATACATCCACCCCAAAACCAAAGTTCTAGCTCAAAGTCAGAGCTCGGGATTGGCTGGGCTTGCTTTTTTACCATAGTATTGCAGAAAATATGCAAAGCCCAATATCAGCAATGGAATCAGATACTGTAAGATCTTGAGTGCAACTCCAGAAGATTGGTCACTAACAGCAGCAGGAGGTGGAGGTGCTTGTCTTGGTGGTGGTGATCGGAATTGTGGCTTTTCTGGAAGGGTGCTGACGTCAACGTCCCCAGCTAGGTATTTTTCCATCATCTCCTTCGCAGAGTCACTGTGACCTACGTCTTCAAAATCATCTGTGGCATCCTTCTCTGTGAAAACAACATAACATTCTTAAAGCCTGTTTGGCCTAGCTGTGCATGACCAAAAAAGCATTTATTTGTTAAAAGTAATTACCCCCTTTTAAGTTTTGATGTGTTTTACACAGAAATAAACTCCTTTTGAATTGTAACAAAATCTTCTTTTTTTTTTTCACTGTGAGTGAAGCTGGAATGTGGAGCTTCTCTTTGGAAGTGACAACCATAAATCTCACTCAAACTAAATACTTGGACATACCTTCCAAGCTTCCACTTCTTCTAAATATGTACTTCCAAAAAACTTACCAGCAGCTAACAACAGAACTTCATCACCTCCAGGATGTTCTTCCAAAAATGGGGTGACATCATAAACCTGATGCAGTTAAATGCATGTAAACTAGCAAATTATTTAGGTAAATATAAGATAACAAATCTAAGAAATTCTACTTCAGATTCTATGATACCAACAACAGGGGGAAAGAAAAAGAGGATAGAGGGAGAAATTCCAGTAGTTGCAAACTGCGGATTCTTAAATTCAGTGGCTTCAATCATATGACATCCAATAGCAAATGTAACTATGTTGGATCCCATTCTATTCCATGATTTTCATTCCTCGCACTTCTTCAGTGGGAAGTGCTGAATATGAAACTAACATTGCCACTGCTTCCACTTTCCAATTAATTGAGATAATTTAAAGTTGCCTAGATTAACAGCGAAAAAACTTCCGTTCCAGAATGTCAAGGATTAAACAGATCCAATTTAGATGGCCTATCATATATGCAAAAGCCAAAGAGAAATATAATTTCCTCACAATGTTGAACTGGACATGAAGGGACAAGCAATCATGTCATTAGGGAACTAATTAAAATTTGATAAACCAACAATCTCCAGAATTTGTTGTGCCTATTGACCGACATAATATGGCTCTCCAATGAACAACAGCTCTTGTCCACTGATCCCAAAACTGTGTCTATGTAGCTACAAACGTTGTATATGCTATATTTCTTAGATGCCACAAGTCTGATTTTCAGAACACTGCTAAATTTCTAACTTGCACTTACTGTTTCATTTGTTTCAACAATTATTTTTAAAAGACTCTCATCATGCAGCAGAAGGGAACTGTACCAATTGAGCTTTATTCAATGACTTGCCCTTTTTGACTTATTGGTAACAGTTATAGCCAGTAGGCAGAGGTGCAGTGTTCAAATGAAGACAATCACGCCACATAAGGAAAAGGCTCAAGACCAGGTAATTCCGATGGTATGTTCTAAAACCTCAAATGAGAAAATATTGTTTCAGAAAATCTAATCTCTCACGTCAAAATAACTTATAGAAAAGGCTTTCCAGCCTCAACAAATAAATCATGAGATTAAAAATCCCCTATGCATATTGGTTTCTTGGCAGCTCTGAGCATGTTGCCTCAAGTGGTACTGGTTTCTTCTTTTTCTTCGGACAAAAGTGGTATTGGTTTCTGACTTCAAGAACTTACTCCTGTTGTCTATCGGAGCGACTCAAATTCTAAAATACAGAAGTATATTTTTTGTACACTAACTTTACTCCCTGAATTTTATCATTCACATCAACGCCATTTGAAGAAAAAATTTCAATTATAGAAATATTTTGGATTTCAGAACAATATCCACAAAAATTCATTATAAGTTGCCCATAACTGATCATGATTAGATTTAGAGAACTGTCAAATTAACCACTTACTTACTGGTAACTGTTTATCCGCCAGCTCAATCATAGGAAGAAGTCATTTCTACAACTTCTACTGATATCAGTATTCATCTAGCTTAAGTATTAGCCTCTGAGTCATCAATAATCATGACTAACACAAACGATCGAATTCAAGGACGGAGAAATCTCTCCTTCAAGGAACATGCATAAATTTTTGTTTTACCTGAAACCCAATCTCAAATATACACCAGATAATATGAAGTCATCCAGGATCATTTCAAAGTCAAATTTCGTACCAAAAGATTTTAAATTCAATATTATCGATAATAGTCAAATCAATAATCAGTGCTTTAGTACAAAAGCAGCTCATCCTGAGCAACTGAAAACATAGTACCTATAGATAAACAGCTCAAGAAAAAACCGGTGATACTGAAGTGACGCCATTGTACTGGAATTAAGAAACTCACCTTCCCATTGATTATAATCCAGCAATCATTTTTATGATTGTGTTTAGCCACCTCCTCAAAAGTAAAAGCTTTTGAAGCCATTGCTGCCTCTTATCTGCTCACAGAGAGTTAACAGAAACCCAACGCACAAATTATTCAGGACAAACATTCAAGAAGAAGGCAGAAAGGTTGGAACCAGAACAAATTAATAAATTTAGAGACTTCAGATTGAGAAAATCACAGAAATTAATGGGAAAAATGAAGATGAAGGGGGTAGCGAAGAGATTCTCTCACCAGGTGATGGAGATGGGCTTCCGAATAGCAGTTTCCTCTTCTCCTGAAACGTTTCTTCAACAGTCGGGGAGGAGTTTCAAGAATTTGTACACGGTATGAAACTACGTCGTTGGAAACATCGTTATTAACGTTGACCCATTTAATTGTTAAAATATATAGGGTTCATGAATGGAATCTTTCTCAAATGAAAGAGAAGACTGCAAATTTTGCATTGATGAAAACAATGTTCATGTACCACTACTTATTTCAGGTAAAAAAAAAATGTGCCAGTAATTATTGTGATCATTATTATTATAAACATTTAAGAGAATTTGGGTTTGAGGATTGAGATCGTAGGATCTGTGAAGCAATTTTTTTTTTTTTTTGGGGTACATATTCTGGGTTTCCATGTTGAATCTGGGTGGTCATATTTCATTATGTTGTAATGGGATCGTGTTCACGCTGAACACGCCTTTTTTATTGTTGTTGTTATTAAAAAAGTGAAAAAACTACACATCTTTTTTGACAAGACATTAATATTTGTTGGAGAACAAGTTATTTAACGATAATAATTCAAGGGAAAATGATAATTAAAAATCTTACAATAATATTTAATAATAATTATAAATTATTAAAATTTTAATAATAAATTATAATGTTCATTTATAATAAAATAAAAAAAAATAGATATTCTTTTTAAAGAAGATTCAAATATTAATCTATTACATCATAAGAGACTAACTTATTTCACTAGATTTAAATTTCACTGGTAATGATTTTGATTTTTTAAATATGCATTGGTTTTTATCATGAAGTCACAGTACTAAATTTTAAGTTTCTGGTTAGTTTTCTATATAAATACACTAATACTTCATAAATTAACTTTATTATAGTTGAGATTTTTTAAAGATATTACTTCGGTGGAACGAATTTTAAAAATTGTTTTTAATCTTTTTTTTTAATAAGCAAAAACCATCCAATTTAAGATACAATCAAGAGATGTTTCTAAATTTGCCTCTTTTAAACTACTATCATTAGATAGGACCAAAGTGAAACATTAATAACAAAGGCGTTTAAATAACAAAAATCTAAAGCATAATATAATAGTGGAGATTGAAGATTAACTAATTTTCTTAAAAATTTCAAAACGATTAAAATTTGCTCATAATTAGGGATGGATGGAGTACTTAACAATTTCTTTCAACATTTTCTCACCAATAAATACGTGATAGGGTTTGTATTTATTTATATCAATGTTATTCTAAACATTATTAATGTGTTTGTTTTTATGGCGAAAGTCATGGTACGAAGACAAACATGTCTTAAATTTACTAATTCTTTTTAGACCATTTTGTATAACATTTGCTACACTATGAAATTTTAAGTATCCACAAGTCTAATACTCCTCTCCCTTATTTAAGTGATATTGTATTGTTAGAGTGCGCACTATTTCCAAATTGGATTGTCATTATTACCAAATATATTTTAGTCAAAAGATTTTTAACCCATTTGTTGTATTACATTTCTTGCCAATATTTTGGCAAGAAACTCTTGTTGACTTGGCATGGAACTTTTTGCAGAGGATGTTACGTGTATTTGTGAAGAAAAATTTGCACAATGTGATCTTTCTAAAACCAAAATTACTGGTAAGATCACATCAAAAATATTTTTCTTTCCCATTAGATCATATAAAATAATAGAGATAATACAAATTTTAGTTTTTAAATTTTTTCTTAATTATTAATTTAATCTCTGAATTTTGACTATCAAGTTAAAAAATTATAATAACTGAGCTATTTCAAATTAAAAAATTACGAGTACTAAATTATTACAAGTCAAAGTTTAATAATTAAACCAACAATTAAAAAAAAAAGCTGAGGAACTAAAAATTATATATTTCCCTAGAAAATAACATCATAGTTTCATTTTGAAAGCTCCGATCATGGCCACGCAACATATAATTTGGCAAAGCATTTTACTAAAAAAAAAGTAGCACGCATCATTAAAGGAAGTAAAATTCGAATGTCTTTGTTACTAGAATATTTGCAGCACCTTATAAAAAACTGCATCATAATGCAGAAAGAGAAGATATGAACCACAGCCACAGATATTAGAGACAACCACTGTCAGGCTACAACGATGTTCAGCCAGAGATGAAGGAGACCAAATACAACATAGAGATATCACAAGGCAGAATCACAGGGTTCAACGCATTGTTCTTAAAATACACAATCAAGTACCTAATCTTTCTTATGTTTCTTTAACAAAAATAGGTTTCAAGATAAACACAGATTCTAGCTCCATAGCTAAACCAACTAGCTTGTACCTGCAACAGCACAAGAGAAAAGAGACAACAATTTAAATCCAATATCTTCCACTGTTCTAATGCAAATCAACTCCCAACATTCATGTGTGTGTGGTCATAATGAACAGTGAAGAGGGGTAGCAGCATCTTATCAGTAAGTTGAAAATTCAAAGTGAGGAGTAGAAGTAGTAAGTTCAGAGACCTTATAAAATGCTTATCATGTCACCTTGATTTTACAGCACCAATGCAGAAGTGACAACTACCATAAGGAAAAGGGATGATTTATGCTTATTAAAAGCTTTTCACATGCATAGATGTCCACATCAGAAATATTAAGAAAACATTTTCCATGTAAATTACCACAATACAATTAATTAATGTATGACATGACAAATCAGCTATTTTCAAAGCCGCGCATTTAATTACTTAGGAATTAACCCATTTTGGTAATGACATAGGATAGAAGGAAGATATTTTAAATCAGCTACTAATTACAAAATTACGTTTCTCAATACTTTGTCAAATGCAGCATTAATTAATTAGTATGAAAAATGTCAAGAAACTAGAATACAAACAGCATTTTACGTGCTGATACAGATAAAATGAATGGATCTGTCCCCACATTTCCCTTATATTAGCACTTTAGCAGGCAAAGAGGGCCAGAAGCAGATTCCGTGGCCGAAGCTATAAAATATATAGACTCTCTCAAGTAAAATGGTGAATTGATACAAATTTAATTGATAATTATGATTCAAGCTGACACTATATCAGATAATCTCTCAAGAATATGCACGCTATAACACTACATGCTGTCCCTAAAATAGAAAGCCAAAGCGACGGTTTGATTATGACCTGGATATAAGGAGGATTGGAATGTGATTATTTCGACCTTCTTGGTTGGACTTTTCATGGTTATTTTGTAGGAGGGTCCCATGAATTAGAAATGATAATAATCAAGCTATAATCAAGCTATCACCATGAAAAATGACACTTGGGGAAGAGGCTTTTCGGTCCTGAATCTAGCTTGGGACATGCATGCATATATACAAGAATAGTAGATAGAAATATGCCAAGCTAAGCTAAGCTAAGCTTGATGGAAATTGGAAAGCTTTTGTATGCGGTTCTAAGAGTAGTGTCTTGTTAGGTATAGTGATAACACTCTCTTGCTAGTTAGCATATAATTTGAATAAAAGGACATAAACAGATAAACTTCAAGCAAAGAGACATTTCACCTTTCACGCCTACACAAAATCATTCCACTAAGACCAAAAACTTTAAAAGAATATGAAAGTACTTCATTTCTGAATTTCAAGATAACAGAGTGCGTTAAACAACTTTATGAATCCCAGGTTACAAATAATTCAGAACAGAAAACATCTTTTCATAAACAAAGAGAAATCGCTAGGCTTCAATTTTTGATAATAAAAGTTGCAGCTGCCATACCTTAAATTGGAAGCAAAGTAGTAGAGTCATTGGCTTCTTGATTTTCCTGGTCCGCTTGTTTGAGACTCTTAACATCAAGCTCTGGATGGATTTTCTTCTTTAACATCTTCTTCATCAGCTACAACATTGCAAATTGTTTGATCAGATGAATACAGGCGAATCCCATAAAATTGAATGGAACTCTCTTACTATGTTCCTTGAAAATAAAGGTTCTATTCGTTGAAAAAGTGTGAGAGCCAGAGGCATGATTAACTTACTCGCTGTATATTTTTCACAGGGTGTGAATTGTCCTTCACAAGTGGAAAGAACTTCTTGGTGAATGACAGTCCATGCTTTGATTTAAGGATTGGTTTTTCATGTGGCTCCAGCAAAACTTTGGCACGGTCCACTTTCATTTGAACGTCAGAATCAGCCAAGAAGAGGTCAGCTAGTGTTATTCTTTCCCCTTTCTTCTTCCTCTGATCGGTCTCCATGGCGCTTAATTCAGTGATTTCATGAGATACCACAGTGGGAGTCAGAAAACTCTCACTGAGGGTCATAGCCAAGCCCTGTTCACTAGCATTAGCACCGTGGTTTGGTTCAAAAGTATCCTCATAGTTATGCTCAAACGTGTTGTGCATCAATGGATTCAGTTCTTCATGTTCAACATTATAATCCACATCTTCATCACCATCAACAATGGTGTGCTCTCCTCCATCACCTTCGTCATCTGGTTCATCTTCACTCTCCAGAGCCTGGTATTCTTTCTGCTGGTTAAAGGACCCAAGGGGATCATAACCAAGGGTTCCAATGGTCAGAATGCCATCTTTCCAACCATCAAGGACATCGCCAAGGGCAATTTGTTTCAGTAAAGCTTGACTATCCGCGTCGTTCAGCGTAGGTTCAGTCTTTTTAATGTTTGAAGCAAACCCATCTGAATAAAGAAGTAAAAGATTCAAAGTAATCATTAAAAACGGGCACTTTACAAGGCAAAGAGTGGGCATTTTATTTGAAGACTAGAGAAGTTTGAAACCTTTGAAAGCGCTATGATGAAACCTCTTGTGCACCCAGTTGAAGATCTGTGACAAACATGAAGTTAAGAGGGCAGAAAAATTTAGAGACAGCGTGAGATATGTGGTCCTTCCAAGAGCCAGAAAAGAAAGTAGAATTGATTATGCATGAGAAAAAAAAAAGGGTATATGCAGAGTTGACATCACCTTCATTGTGTCTCTCTTCCTGAAAGTTGGCCAGAGAAGCTAAGAAATTGCAGAGGGAGTGACTCGGGGAAGGGAAAACATGATGAGGATCATGACACGAATTGAACACATAAAAGGGACCAACTGGATGACGGCAATAAGGTAAAGCCACGTATCGGAGGAGTGGGTCCCTTAGGAAGCCACGTTTGTAGGTTCATAGCATTGTTGACGAGCCACCAATGTTGGGTTTCTCTGGAATTTATCGATGAGCCGAAATTCTGAAAATAATGTGCTACTGGTTAACCATCTCCCCCCCCCCCCTCCCCCCTTCGAACTTCCCTTTTGGGGGATACTTGGTGAAGAGAATTGCAGGTCGCAATAAGCATATGATAATTCAGAGACGAGACCGAAACCGAATGTGGTGGGGGCAAGGAAGTGGCATTGCGTGCCGGATTCAAGACGCATCAATCAATGGAGACAAGGGAGATCACTGGATATTAGGGGAAAAGTAACTGAATTTGATCTCTAACTCAATCTCCAAAAGGTAGAATTTAAATAGCGCCTGAAAATTTCTTGTGTACATGTAAACTTCAGGACGATGGCCTGCCAAGTCCAACTCTTCAGGAACCATTTGGCTATTTGGGTCGGGCTATGATCAAATGCCCATCATAGCCAAACCCACAATTTTACTTTTTTTTTTTCTCTCTATTTTTTTATATAAAAAAAATTGCGAACACTAAAACTTAATTTTTTGTCAACGAAAATTTAATTATTTTATAGTATTATTTTTTTGATATTTTTATGTAATATATTGTTTCTATCACCATCATTTATATTTTTTATTTTAATATGTTTAATCTCTTTTAAAATTTTAAATTGATTTTTTAACTTAAAATTATATAGAAATGATGAAGAATTATTAAGTATATATAATGATTACTTTTAACCCATCGCGGTAATTTTTCTTAAATTTTGGATTGCCGGAAATAGAGTGCTCTTTGAGAATCCGGAGAAAGATGCTTTTGAAGTATTTGAGGGAAGCACAAAAACTACTATAAGAAGACCGTGTAGCTAACATTTCTTTTCTTTTTTCTTTTTTGTCCTTGTTTACGAGTATCAGAAACAAATCGCGCCGATGGAGATTATCTTGATGTCAAGGACTGGCATTTAAACCTAAACAACATGTTTTATTGACGAAAATCCTTACCTTTTGTCAACTTGTGTTGGTGATGTTGATTTTTTTTTTCATATAATTAATGCTCTGATGTTTTTTTAAATATTTTTTTCATTGAATATAATTCTTAAAAAGTTGCGTCAAATTGTAGCTAATGATACTGAAATTGAATTGGATAATTTAATTTGATAAATAGGATAAAATTTTCATTCAAATTCGCTGTGTATTTGGTCACGTATACATTTGATTCAAAATTTATATGATTTTGATTGTTTAAAATAACAAAAATTAATAGCTTTAATATATATGAACCGTCCAAATATAACCTAGACTACATAGAAATGGTGAACGAGTAGTGGAAATCCAGTTGTAATGGAGAAGCTTTAACAAAACGATGTTTTTTGATTGGTGATAAAAGAGATTAGGGGTGATAACGTGAAGGGGATGGGGTGTCAAACAAGGGCACGTGTGTCCCTGAACGAGAAGGCAAAAGGGTCACAGCTGGTGACGTAAAAGTACCGTGACTGTGTCACACCCTTATCTTTTGCTTCATCCCCAAACGCTCCAAATTAAGGCGCCACCTCCTCTCTTCTCCCTAACCATGTAACAACATTCAAAGTACGTACACTCCCCACGCTGCACCAAGTTTCAATCCGGCATGATCTCACCGTATTAATGTTGGTATCTCAATTTAAATAAATCAAATAACATGAATACATGAAGAATTCATAATTAAGTGTGGCTTTTCAATTATTTCAAATGTAAACAGATTCACAATTCATTACGTCCTGTAGTTTACAAAAAGTACAAAGATAATGAAGAGAATGACAAAAGCATCGTGTGTGGTAATTATTGACTGATTATATTATATGGATCAACTCTATAATTACCCTAACAATAAATTAATTAATTTTATATTATTTTTAATTCAATCAATTAAGAGATAAAAAATAATTAACTGCTACAGGGTTGTATGTTAAGCCTCTGCCAATTGAGTTCACTTGTGTGATCCAATGCTGGATCTAAGACCTTAGACTAGTGGAGGCAATTTATTCAGTATAAGGTTCCAACAGTGCTATATTCTATTAGGTACAAAAAATAGAGATGAGTGGAGGTAAGATGCAAAATCTATCATATATATCCATGTAATTTTTTTCATTTTAGGAGGGCATTAGCCCACACTGATCAAGACCGCCCCTGATGTGGTCCACTTGTCATGATCTACACAAGATTATAAATACCAACTTATTTTGGACTTAATATCTAATTAATACAAATTCATAATATGTAAATATTTTATAAATATTCCAACAACCTCACAGGCTTCCTGTCCCCACCAGCTTTTCCAAATTTAATCGCATATTAAAATCCTTAATTAATCACTCTTATAAATGATAACGTGTACATGCTTTTACTCGCCCCTAGGGTTGTTATGTTGTCTGCAATATTACTAGACTGATATAACGTATGCTTCTGCTCAGCATTAGGTGATTTCAACACACAGTACCCTCATAATATTGTCCTCGCCCAATGCCCACTTACTCATTAATGTAAACTAGGCATGTGATATTGCTGGTTGTTACACAGTCACACTTTTAACCACTACTTGCTCCATTAATCTTATCTTCCACTTGTTGTTTGACCATCCCCTTCTCATTTCCAATCCATTGCCCTCTCTTGTGGGTTATGGTCAGTTGTGCGATAAATTAAAGGAAAGGAAAAAGAGAGACATGGGGGTGGATCTTTTTTGTGTCTTTTTGCACAGTAGGCTTTGGGATTGAGGTTAGGATTGCCGGGGACGAATGGGATGAAAGGAAAAGATTGACTTCATCATCCTAATAACATCTCGAGTACAAGACACCAAACTCGCATGTCTTCATTGCTGCTGTTATATACAGAGAATTTAATTTCTTGGCCTGTGAAAGAGACACTCACCAAACAGCCATGGAAAGAGAGCTGTGGACACTGAATTAGACAGTGAAATCAGAAACTTTGAGTCTATAAACTTCCAACCACTTATCATCACTCCTCTGCATTGGGTGACACCCCTTGTTCCTTCCTTTTCCTTTCCTCAACATGTGGTCCTTATTCTTGCTCCACTCTACAGATTGCCATATATTCTTCTTTTATTTTTCTCTACATATCTGTCATGCATGCACTGATGCAAATATATTGTATTCTGTGGGGAATGACTGATGTGTCGCACTATTCATGCATGATGAATAGTATAACATGCTGCCTGAAGTAGCAGATAGAACAACATACATCATTCAATTTGAAGTTTCTCAAATTAGAAAATAATAAAAATATGTAGTTTTTCCTCATGTATGCTGCACAAGGAAATCATTGGCTATCCACTTTCTACAGCGTGTAAATTGAAGAAGGCGAATGATGTGATTAGATCACAAACAGAATGTGTTATGACAAAGAAAGCTGTGATAAATAAGTTAGATTTGTTGTACGTGGTTTAAATCTAAGATCATATATTAGCATTAGAACTTCATAAAAATTAATGATTAGTAATAAAATGATTTATTTAAATTAAATCTAAATGATTACAATACACACATTCATGGTTTTAACTTACAATATTATCAATATCAGTATATGGCATAAAAATTACATACAGCAAACTATCCATAAGTTATAAATTTTATGCAAATAACTGAGCCCACGTCTAGTTGTGGCTTGGAAGGCAAGGGGAATAAAGGCCCAAGAAAAGTAAGAAAGAGTACCAATGATGATTGTGTTACTTTGACCCCTAGCGACTTGTTTGCAAATGCCTCGTAACACAATTGATCTTTTCAATGGGTCAAAGTGTTGCCATAAAAACAAAACAAATGCTTTGGATTCTTGGTAAAGCTGGGCTGATGTTATCCTTCTAAAGTTGATACTACGTAGAGTATATGTCCTATATATTTGTGGATATATATGGTCCTGTGGGTCATTTGAAGTCCTTCCATTTTACAAGCTTACAAACTCGTGCATGCCATGAAATTAAAGCAATTTCTGAGGAAGCAAATACAGGAAATAAAGATAACCCCTTGGCTGTCATGTAACTCTGGAGTGATGTAACTTGTTGGAGATTCTTGCACACAATTAAAATATAAACCCAAGTTACTTATTTTGAGCCTTTTCTTGATTCTTGATAAACAACAAAAGAAAAGTGCTTAAAGTTCCATTTGTTTTCCTCATACAAAAAGAAATCTAATTGAAGACTAAACAGTAAGTTAACTAAATACATCCAACAAATAATACACAATTCAAACATTGGTTTGGTTTAATAGAATGAGCTCCATTTCTTTTAAGGAAGATATGAACCTCAAAGATTGAAAAAATAATATTAAAAAAACCTACATCTAATCGGAGTCCATAATACTCGAATATAAATCAATAGTACTGGATACTAAACAGTTATATCAATTGCATTTAACTTTTTTTTCGCTCTTGCTGCAAAAGGATTTTTCTCTGTGTTGAAGAGTTACCATTTGATTCCTTTTCCCTTCCCATATCTCGCCCATTAATATTGAGAGAATAGTTTGATAAAGCTATTCATATATCTGTTTCCAAGGACACCAGGACAGCGTATGCCGGGAGTCAATTTTCTAGGGCTTTTTGGGCCTCCAGAAAGCAAAATGATGCATTCAATGTTTAGGACCCTTCACTGACTGGCCCATGTAGCAAGCCCTTCTATTGTTGGTGGGTGCAACGCCAGATCTATGTTTCAAATGTTTTGGTGTTTTTTTTTTTTTTGGGGGGGGGGGGGAATGTTAATTGAATTGGTAAGAATTTAATCCATAATTCATAAAGTCATATATTCAAATTTTATTATTGATTTAAGAACTTTAGTAGGTGATTTAGAATCAAATGCTTTATAAAGTTGCAGAAATTAAAATGAGAAATGCATTTACCTTATTTTTTTTTCTAGGTACATCTCTATTAACAATTTTTTTCCTACACATTATAAGGAAGAAAAGTATTCAAGAGAAGTCAAAAGGAAGAGCATAAGATTGTGTAAGATCTGAGGGGCAGAATTCAATTCTCACTCGCCTAGTGACTGAATTGGAAGTTAAAGAAGTTGCTCATTAGCCTGGCAGTCTCAAAGCTCCAAACCTAATGGGTTCAATGGTCATTTTTACCATGCTTCTTAGCAAGAGGTAAAATCATCTCTATTTGCTATGGTATCTGAATTTTTTTTTATTTATTGTGATGTTGATCTAGATAGACTTAATGTGACTAACTTGATCTTGATCCCAAAGTGAATAACGTTGAGGTTATGACTCAATATCGTCCTGTTCGTATGTATAATTTTGCATACAAGATTATTGCCCAAATCGAAGCTAATAGGTTGAGATTGGTTATTGATTATTGCACCTCTAATTGTCAACATGCTTTTGTTCTAAATAGACTCATCCAAGATAACATTATCGTTACTCACAAAGTTTTCTACCATTTGAAGAATAAGAAGTCAAAGGGATAAATATGAATTCGCTATTAAGATGGACATGAATAAAATTTACAACAGACTTGAATGTGATTTTTTGTAGAATGTAATGTTGAAAGTGGGTTTGTGCTTGAAATAGGTGTTATAGATTATGAAAAGTGTTAGAAATGTTTAATTTAATATCCAGCTCTCTGGAAAAATTATAATAGCAATATCTCCCCAATGGGAATTGAGACAAGAGGATCTCCTCTTCCTATATCTATTTATTATTGCGTCTGCTTTCAACAATGCTTGACACTTATGCTACTAGGGGTGAACTAATGGTTATTAACATTGCGAGATCATGTCCGTAACATTTTAAATTTTATTTGGTCTTAAATTATTGATAGGCACCATAAAGAGCATAGAATTAAGGATTGGGCATAAAATAACAAGACAATAGTATATACATATATGTATATATGTATATATGTAAATTAATAACTAAAGTAATTAAATTTAATAAATGTTTAAAACTAACTTATACATATATAATATTAAAAGTTAAATAATTTTGTTAAGTTTTAAAAAATATCGAATCATTTTAAAATTATCTTTAAAATATTATAAAGATAATAATAATTAATGAAAAGAAAATTAATTTAAGGTTATAAATTTAAGGGTCTAAACTATAACGAAACCCTACCCCTACGTTCATTTAATTTTATTCGCTTTTCTCTGAACACGGCCGCCTACTATTTTTCAAGCGCGCTCGCAGGTAGCCTTCCTTGTCTGTCCTCCCATCTCTCTTTCGTTTTCCTCCTCTTGTGCCTCATACATATATAATAAATCTATGCCTACACGCACAGTACGTGAATTATTGGTCAAGTCATTCCTCCTCGTTTATCCTTTTCTTTACTCTTTTTGAGATAACTCCTTTTCTTTGCTCCAGCTTTTGAGTTATAAACATATATACTAATAGTCCTTCCTCCTCGTTTCTCCTTTTCTTTACAGTGGCTATCACCATGTGTGCATATATTATATAATATAATAATTAGCTTCTTTTATGGAATTTTAATAATTACTCTTCCCTAGTCACGTATAGCCTTATATCTATTTAAAAAAATAATCTAGATTAACACTTAAAGATTTAATTTGAAAAACTTATATAATTAGAGTTTAGCATGAACTCAGACTAATCTAACAAATTAATTAAATTGTAAAAGGACATGGGTCTTAAGAAAAAAAAAGGAGAAATTTTGGAGTCAATTAGGATAGTTTTAAAGTCTTAGAATAATTTTAAAGTTACCTCAGAATAGTTTTAAAGTAATATTTATTAACTTTAAATTGTATCTTAATTTTTTGTTTGTATGCAATTTCTGTAGAGTCTTACTAAGAGCTTTTATTTGTTTAGATTTTTACTATGGGACTACTTATTAACTCAAGGAGAACAGGTAACTTGGGTTTTTTTTGTATGTGTGTAAGCTCTGTGTTTGATAATAAATGCGTATAATCATAAATTTAATTGTGAGAAATTCATATATTACTTGAATCCTGTCGAGCATGCTTATAGCTTAGCTATATATTATTGTTGGTTCCTTTCAAGCATGCTTGTGAATGCAGATTAATAATGTTTGTTTGATGGAAATTGTATATTATTTAAGAGTAGTTATTTCTTTCAAGCATGCTTGTAAATTGAGTTGATTAAATGAGATATTTATATTTCTTTTCAAGCATGCTTGTATGCCATGTGAATGTTGTATATGTGCAGCATGTATTGGGGGATGGGTTGATAAGGAGATGATGATGTTGATGTATATACGACTTAGATGACTACATGGTTTGCTTCCACTGCGCGCACAATGCTTGGCCTTTTTCAAAGCTCTATTCCTCAATACTTACCTAGTCAGGTTTGTAAAGTGGGAATGTGAGATAGTGACACTTTCTAGTTGGGGTTTTTTAAGGAGGGGAGCCATAGTCTGAGCTTGGGCTTATACATTTGGCTGGGTATATCTCAAGCATCGGAGAAGCTTGGTCAATCCAACATGTAGGCCAGACTGTATTTAAGCCTATAGTTCCAGTTAGCAGAATAAGGATGGACGGAGTAATAAAAGGAGATTATTGGTATTGCATATTGACATGTTAATGAGCTATATCCTATGAAATTCTTATGTTATAATTGCATAATTCTTATGCACTCACTTGTATATTAGTTGTATAATTGTGTGATTGTAGTTTGTGCATGTATGACTAAACTTTGGGTTACTGAGACGTTAGTGCTCATCCCTCTCTTTAACACATCAGGTAAGCTTAGCAGAGCAAAGGAAAAGTGTTTAAAAGCTTGGGGCTTAGCTTGAGTAAGCTTTAAACCCCATTTTAGTTTGTAGAATAATCATTTATTAGTATAGGATTCATTTGTCATTTGGGTAGAGTTTGGAAATTATTCATTGTTTATTGGTGACTGGAAATGATATTGTTAGTTAAGGCCTAAAGCCATAAAAGTTGTTTAATGGATCTATTTAGAATAAATATTTTAATTGAATTCTAAGTATCAAGTCATTTATTAAAGTAAATATTTGATTATTTATGTTGGGATGTGACACACATGTCTGCAAGCTTCTGTAAGCCTAGACTTTTGTTGAATGGAATGTTTATTTTTATTTTTTTGTTTCTTTTTATCTACCATGGTAGACTTTTTTTACCATGATAGAGTGTTATTTATGATTTTAAATAGTAAGTGCAAACTTTTATAATTTTCGTAACCCTTTTAACTAGTTTAATCATTTTTACTAAGGTTAGATTTTAAATATCTATTTAATAAATAAAATTTTTATAACTATCGTAGTTTCTTAAAATATAGATTAACTCTTTTTTTACTGTGATCATCTTTTCAAAACAAATATGAGAATTGACTTTAAATCTTTATACCATGGTAATTATTTTTATTAGTTTAAATTTTTTATTACCATGATATTTGGTTAAGTTTTTTTTATATAAAGTTAGGGTGTTACAATGTCCTATGTTGACTCATTGTCTGTTTGTAGATGACACACTTATCTATCTGATTGCTGATGTGCGGAACTGTGATCGGTTTGAACAATTATTGGATGATATGTTGAGATTAATTGAGAATATTCCCATCTCTTTGTTTAGAAAACTAGATAAGTTTACCTAGACGGGTGCTAAATCTGGGGATTATAGGGTTAAAAATGCGTATAGATGGGAATGGAAGAGATCTACCCCCCTAGTTCGGAATTGCAGGATATTTCGATATGGAAGATTTTGTGGCAGCTTGATGTAACTACAAAGATTTAAAAGTTTGGATGGAGACTGCTGTATTCTGCGTTGGCTATTAACAATGCTCTCTTCAAAAGAAATTGTAAGCAGGCTCCTTTATGCAGTATTTTTGGCAAAGCCCGGAGACCCTTGAACACCTTGTTCTCTACTGTGATTGGGTGAAATATGCCTGGTTTGGTTGTTATCTGCAATTTAATCTGGATGCTTTTACTGTTTTCTCTTTTAGGACATGGCTATCTGAACTTTTGTGTGGTAACGATTTTTCAGATAATTATAGAAAAGCATATATAAATATATATATTATGGTTTTGCTGGAATATCTAGAAATTCCGTTGCAGGATGATATTTGATGATGACCCTTCGGACCTTGGGGATCTCATTTCCATTACTAATGCGGAGATGATGGAATTTTGGGATGTAAAAGAAGGCTTGACATTGATGCTGATGTCAGTGTTCAGCGTCCTGATGAAAATAGTTGGTCTAAACCACCTTATGGGTCCATAAAGTTCAACATCGACAGTGGATACAGAAAGTCGGATGGGAAAGCTGGAATTGATTTAGTGGCTCGTGACAATGATGGTAAGTTTTCACTTGGCTGGTACGACATAGTAGCAGCAGATTCGGGTTTCCAAGCCGAGGCCTATGGTGTTATGAGGGCTGTTGAGATTGCTCGTTCTTGGCCAAATGTGAACATTATTTGTGAGACTGATTACTCTGAAATATTTAAAAGTCTTTTCTTGTAAATCTCTAAGCTCTTGTGCTTGGCAACATCCTACTCTGATTAATGATTTGTTAGATATGACAGAGTCCTTAGGTTCGTTATCTTTCTCCCTAGTTCCTAGGAGAGGAAAGCAGGTTTAGCTTTAAAGAAATTGGAACCTTTGATTAGGGTGCCTACACCACCACCTCCTCTAGCTCTTTTTCTCACTAAGGACTCAAGATTATGGCAATTTGGTAACGGCCTGCACAGGAGGCTGATCTTGAATGCATTGGCTGAATGTGTTTTATCTTTATGTTGCTTTTCTGTTTTCTTTTCTTCTTGTTTTTTATTTGGCTGTTTGTCATGAACTCTTGTTTGGCTCCGGCCTCCTTTCCGTTTGGATGAAGAATACTTTCTGGCCAAAAAAAAAAAAACGAACTGCATAATGTCGGTCACAACAAATTCCATGCAGAACAAGATTGCATTGCACGTCACAAACAATAACAAAGGATCGTAATTAAAATTTATGACAATAATAATGCGTACTATCACATACTTTCTCCATCCCATACGCAGATTATAAACCGCTCTCATACAAAAACTAATCTCATAACTGCATCTTTTTAGTTTGTTTCATTTATTGAAGCATTGGAGAATCTTCATCTTCTGCGAGAAGCACAAGAATCCGTTCCCTTTCCTCTCAGGACCAACAATGCACCTTAATCTTGATCTTTTATTCTTCTCTGCATATATATGTGCCTAAACAAGGACAGACACGATTCATCAGACTCTATTTTTGAAAAATCAATTCTTCTGTTCTTTGATCTGAAACCCATCTCCCAGTGGCTTCTTGGACAGGACAAAGCGCACTCCTGGGTCGTGCTGGGTGCACGATGAGTTGTACATGAGCGAGTTGTTCACGCTCTGCACGTTGCTGTTCAAGAATGCTGTCATCGGCCATGATGACGATGCTTTTCCTTTGTGATTCTTTCCCTTCTTCTCCGAACTCTTTCCCTCCCCTTCTTCGCTGGATTTCTCCGATTCGGAACCTTCTTTGTTTCCTTTCTTGTTGAGTTTGTTTGGGGATTGAATCACTTCCATGAAAGCTCCTCTATTTTCCCCTGAAATTGTTATAACCCTCATTCCAGACTCCTCTGCTTTCTTCACTTCTCTGTGTCCGCCATGTTTTTCATGATGCAGAACGCTGGGTTTTTCACTGATGACCCTCTGTCTTGGCTTCTCCACGGTCTTCTGAAACAGCACCGTCTTCTGCTCCGCCTCTGCCTCCGTCGGCCGCTCAGTCTCGGTGCTCGTCTTTGTTGTCACCGCAGGTGGAAGAACCAATGGAGAAGGTGGAGGAGCAGTAATGGGCTTCACCTTCGGCGATTCTATGGTGGGAGCCTGTACCGCTGGCTTGATCGTCTTCGGAGACTGGGTTTTACCATTCACGTCAGGTGGAACCGATGATGCCGCCGGGAATGCCCCCTTTTGAACCGGAGAAGGAACCTTTTGAACAGGAGAAGGAGCTTTCTGAACCGGGGAAGGAGCTTTCTGAACCGGCGACGGCGGTAAAGACCTTCTCTCCACTGGTGGCGGCTGAGGAGCAACAGGTTCCTCCGCAGGAGGCGGTGCTCGAGTCAGCGGCGATGACGGTGCGGAACTTGTCCTAAATGTGGGTCTCACCACCGTCGGCCGCGTCTCTGGCTGTGCTGGTGGTGGTGCCGGTGCAGGGGTAGGCGCAGGTGCCGGAGCCGGAGCCGGAGCAGGAGCAGGGGCCGGAGCCGGTGGTATAGCTCGGAGAGAGGCTAAGCGAAACCATGGACGAACAGGAGGTTGGTTAGCCATGAGGAGGAAGAGAGGGAGGGTTGGTTTGGAATGGAAGGAAGAAGAAGAAGAAGACGACACAAAAATCCAAAAGCAGGGGTAGTGTCATTTATAGAATCATCCCAACGAGGAAAAGCAGCTGATATACATAAAATCAGAGCCGAAACATGAAAAAAAAAAAAGGCGGGGATTGAGATTGAAGGAGAAGGCAGGGAAAGAAATGGGGAAAGCATCGGATTCAATAAGCACCTCCAGCTGACACAAACTCACAGTTTCAAGCTTGGAATCCCGTCGGAGTCATTCTGAAGAGACAAGCTTATGTCGGACCCCACGTTTTTGTTTTTGGCCCATGTTTTTCGCTTCACAACCAGACCACCTTCTCTGTTCTCCCACACCATTCCCGCGTCAGAATCTTACATTTCGAAATTCCAGACTGTCTGATCGCCTAGTGGGATTAACAGTGAAATTGTACTAGAATGAAGTCTAAGAATTGATGCATGCATGCATGAGCTGAAAGTTGAGCCGTTCATTTAGAGACGAGAAAACTTAGATTACTGTGGTGATATTCAATCCAAATCGTTCATGCAGAAGCTGTGTTGTAGGGTTGACTCAAATGTCAAGCGCGATTTAAGTTCAGTGAATTTCACACAAGTGCTTCACATCAGCTCAACTTAAGCACAGTACAGTAATTTGAGAGAGATTCTTAAAGCGTGTCTTGTAAAGATGGAAGCAAAGGAGGAAAGGTGGGACTGGGGAAAAATGAAGGAGCTTTAGCTTGACTTTGCTTGCTGAGGTAGGAAGATTGGGATGCTGCCTTCTTTACTCTCAATGACGAATCCCATCTCAATTTTCAAGTCATCCTCCCCACAAGAAAAGAACCTGTCCCATTGGTCCCTTTCTCCCATCAACAATCATTTATTTTCAAAGATTTTTGACGAAGCATAGTTTTTGTTCCTTGAGTTTTAGCCCGCTCGAGTCAAGGTTCTTGTGATTTTTTCATCAGGTAAATACTTCTTAAAATTGTAGTCAATAACTTCGATCAAGATCCCTAAAAATGATGTGTTGCTAACATGGCAATAATATTAGATAATAAAACAGACTTTAACTGAAGTTGACTATAATTTCCAGAATTGATTCTCAAGAAATAAAATAACAGAGACTTTGAGATGGGTTGGTCACTATTTTAAGGAGCTAAAAAAATATGTTTTTCCAAGATTCTCTCCTGGTGACTTCTCTCATGTCACCTCCAACCCGCTATGGTGGTTTCAAGATACCAGCTCATTGGAATTGGAGCGCGTGAATAATTGAGAACTTTCACGGGAAGTCTTCAAATGCCAGCCGTAAATTTCACTAGTGTTATACTCTTTGAAGCATCTTCTTCACATTTTTTATGTCTCAAAATGCTAAATTCTCCGAAGGCTTACAATATCTGATTTGTGACTTCGAGTAACAAGTATTTCACATTTCTCACTAAATGACACCATGAGTTTTGCGGCATTCAAGTTGTTCTCTTGTGAAAATATAAGTAGAAGGACCTTTAAGTAATTTCCTTTTTTCGCTATTATTCAAGTAGTTTCTTAATTTACTTTTTATAAAAAGGCCAGAGTAACTTACTGAATGTTGTCAAACTCCAGTACAAAGTACTCCTCCCATAGTTTTTCCCCATTCCCATTGCTTGAATTATCTACCCTATTTAACGAATATTAAGTCATTTCCAAATTTTTGACTTTTTCCAAAAAACAATTTTGGAGTTCAATAATAACATTTAAAATTTTATATTTGAAAAGCAAACACAACTTATGGTGCTATAAGTGGGACTATGATAGTTTTTTCTTGTAATAATTAAACCTCTAGGTAAGGTGGATCCTCGTATTTTTAGAGGTTTCATAGGTTGCACCCTCATCAATTAAATTAATATTAATAGCAAACTAAAAATGGCAATAGACTAATATATGAATGAAAATCATTACTTATTTGGTTTTGACAATTTTTCTCTGAGAGAAGAAAAACTTTCTTTGTTTTAAATGTTTTCCTCACTTTTCTTCCTTTTTTAGACAATAAAAATGCAAAGACTGCCCCCCTAAAGAAGAAAAAAATGAAGTTGTGATCAATATGGTCATGCTGATTTAACATAATGAATTTGGGCATCTCATTTTTTGAAACTTAGTAAATTCAATAATTTTCTTAGTATTCATTAGAATTAACATCCAATTGGTAAGAATCGGTAGTTCAAGCCAACTTAAATGAGAATAAAAAAAAATTTAAGATTAAGCGTGATAAGATATTAAATTTTTTATATTCAGGTCCATTTGAACTAAACTTAATTGACTTTGGCCTTTGTGCAATACTTGAATACAAATTTAATATATATATATATATATATATTAAAAACTAATTAATCTTTTATACTTTAGTTCATTCTATACTAATTGTCCATATATTTGACTATATTATTACAGATATTTTCTTTAAAAATTAAAAAAAATCTTATTGTTATATTTTTTATTATTTTTAATATATAAAATATCTTCAAATAATATTTAATTTTAAAATATATTTAAATATTGATTTTTAAACTTTAAGACCCCTAAATTTTTTATTTTAAAAAATTGAGTCTTCTGCATTTTTTAAATATTTAAAATATATTATATATTTTTTATAAAATAAAAAATAATTAATTTTAAAGTAAAAATTGATTTTTTTAAATTTAAAAAATTCAACAGTTGGGCATTCAAATTAGCCTGATAAACTCAAAACTTGAAAAAATTCATGCCTACTTGATTAGTTGTGCTTTTACATATGTTTGGGCTTGTTCGAGATAATGAAATAAACCCCACTTGTTTAAATTACGGACTTTAAAAGTAGTGAAACTTGATGCCTTACCATTTTTTTACGCGTGGACAAGAAGAATCTGTGCCAGGGATTCATTCATAAGAAGATTTTATTCCATACAATGTTTCAATATTCATACAGACGAAAGACAAAAGATCTTTCGTCTGAATAAACAAACATATTTACGTTCCACACAACCATTAACAAAAGGAATCAGAAACAGGAAGGAAGAAAAAATCAAGTAGAGAGAGAACAAGAATAAAGCTTCACTCTACCGCTTGCCCTTGTTCATTTTTGCACTGAAACGTTTTTGACATAATAATAGTTAAAAAACACAATATATGAATGTATTCCCTTCACTCATACTAAATTAGAATCTAGTACAATGTAAATCTTTGATGCGTATCAATACAGTGTACAAGTTAGATGTAACTCTCGTGCATTATACAAAAATTAATAAATAAGTCACACTATTCATAGCTTCAAAAACAGTAGCTTTCTATACATTTTATAGTATATATTGATGATTGATTGAATGAATATTGATGAGAGAGGAAGGGGAAGTGCAAAATTTTGTTGATTTGAAGTTGCTAGAGAAAACAAAGCTGAATTGAAGGAAAATAGAAAGTGATGAACTACATTAGAGATCATATATACATTCAAGGCCATTTTGTGAACTCAAAAACTTTAAACACAATATCAATTCCCGTGGGAATCTGCCATACAAAGAGCAGAACGTTCAGTGTATTCAAGGCAATGTGAAGATTTCTGGCTGTTTCATTTCCTTTCTGCATTGCTGGTACGAGTGCTGCTGCCAATGCCCATAAAACTGTAATACCTGTTTCACCCCCCACAAAAGAAGAAAGGCAGAATATAATCATTTTCTACTTATATTGCAATTTGTGTTGCGGATTATAAATGAATAAACTATTGCTAAAGTGAAAATAGAAAAAGAGAAAGAAAGGTGGGATTCACCTATTTACATGTAGATCTCATAGAGGTGGAGCTCTAGAACACCCAAGTAAAATCTCGATATTGAGTTTGAATGGTCATAACTTGAGTTGTGTTTTTTTATTATTATGGGTTCTTGCAGACATTCCAATATGAATTGTTGATTTGTTGGGAGTGCTCAGGATTAAATCGGACGGTTTAGTCAGATTTGAGTAGCTGTGTGGTTAATTTCCAAAGAAAAATTTCAAACTCAATGGCCTAGATTTGATCCGGAAAGTTTTGGTATGTGGTTGAGTCACTTTTAAGTTACTTTTGCATATCTAAATTTTTCAACACTGATCTGGTTGCGTTTTAAAAATGCTGCTTGAGCTGTGATAGCGAAACTTTGGTTTAACACTTTTCCAACAAAAACCAAACAACTTTGGAAACAAACATTTTTAGAGGGGTAAATGACATAAACTTACGTGAAAGCACAGGGACTAAAAGAATTATTTATAGACCTCCACTATTTTCAGTTGAAGTGAATGGGGACGAAATGCCAGTGTTAAAATAAAATATGAATTTATAGTTGCAAGTTGGTAAAAACAATACCTGCTCCTGCAAACAAATGTGGACCAGGAAATAGCTTTCCAGTCCTAAGCCAAGTGTTGAGTCCTCCACCAACAGATTCAAGCACTCCAAATCCTAAAAGTATGGATCCAGCATTGAAGTGTCTGTCCCTGTAAGATCCTTTCAGCAGTTCCTTCCTCTCCTGAATTTCAGTTGCCAATATATATATTGGGTACTCATCAGAGCTCCGCAAATCATTGTTTAATAATCCATGAGTTTTGTTTGTTAAACTAGATTTCTTCTTTGTGCAATGCATGGATAAACAATAACTTGAAAAAATTATATATTGATTTGGACAAAATTTTCAAGTCAAAAATTCAAAATTTAAGTTCAAATAGTAAAAACGTAGAGATAACAGATAGAAAATTAGAAATAATAGTATAATAGAGGCATTGATACCAATATTGACTGTATGGTTCATATGGCTTGTGAATAGTAAGCTTTAAAGAAAAGGTACAATGTTTATAACTTAAAACAGAACCATTTACATGAGATTTTGTAGATACATAAATATACATTTCAATATTGCATCCATTAACTCAAGAAACAATGTTGAAGCCCTAAGAAGCTTGAACCAATCTCCCATTCAAATCATTTAGTTAATATTATGCGAAAAAGAAACTCATTCTCCAATAAGCTTTACAGAACTTCTCTCCTATTGGATCCATGATATGCAAAAGCAATGCAATATAACCTCGACAGTAAAGCCTCCACTGCATACCGTGGTTTGTACACACTTAAACAAATATTTCTCCTTAATTTAGTCAATTGCTCGCCATCAATGATAGAAATCAAATCTAGATTTAGTATATATCCTCTTTGTATTATCCAAATTTAATACAAACTGTCTGGATCATATCTTTCGCATTTTTTTAATTTACCTCCTGTTTTTCAACAATGAAAAAAATATTAAAATTTTAAAAAATAATATTTAGGCCAATCAAATTAGTTTTGGGTGTCAAAAAATGAGGCTTGCACGTGCATGTGCCTACAAATGTACACCAACATCTATTTGCCTAAACCAAGTGATTGCAGCTTGATCCTAAATAATTAATACAGCTAAAATGAACGTGTCACAATATGTCTAACCACCTATCACATATGACACAAATATCATTCGCACCTTTTACCTTGTGAGTCTATCTAAAACTAGACATACATTATGTGAAAAGGTCATGTGTACATTTCATTACAGAAAGCTAGCTAGCAAGCAGAGCAAGAACAAAATTTGCAAGACTAGGAGTACTAGTAACTAGTACCTCAGTGAGTTGCTGAATCTTGAGTTCAACAGGTGATGGCGGTGCCTCCACCGGATTCCCATCTGGGGTCACCGGAGTGGGTTTCAATTGCTTCTTCAGCTCATTAATCTCATTCTGGATGGTCCTCACTCGCCGCCATTGCCACCCCAAATACCCAGCCCACAGGGTATAGAAGAAGAAAGCTCCCATCACAATGGGATGTATCAACGCAAATGTTCTTCCCTCCAATATCCCAAATTCCCCACCAGCGGCAATGGCATCCTGCCCCAAAAAAAAAAAAAATCCCCAGAAAAGAAATCAACAAATACGCATTACACATATAAGGTATATCGTGAGGTGAAGGGGCTTGCCTCGGGGTGAATTAAGAAAGGGACATTGATCGCAGAGAGAGAAAGAGCAGCAGATTTGAGAGTATTGAAGTTTTGGTCTAGGAGCTTGAGTGGATTCGGAAAATCAAAATCCTGCTGTGGGGTCGTCAATTTGGCAGAGATAGAGGGGTATGGGAACTTTGAGAGGGACAATCGACGTGGATTTTGAGGTACAATAGGGAGTTTGAGGAAACTGAGCGTGGCGGCCATACTGTGTTATGGCAGCCGGTGATTTGGGAGGCAAAGACAAAAGGACGCTCAAGCGAGGCAGCAGAAAGAGAATGCAAGGCAATAGCGAGAAGGAGATAAGAGACTTGGGATCTTGAGGTCAAAGAAGCTTGCTTTCCATTCATTATGGGCCCCTCAATCTCTCTCATCATCGCTGACTTGTTATTATTATTATTATTATTTTAATTGAAAAAGGAAATCCACCAACAATAGCGGCAATCCAAAGCCAAAAAGCAAAAACCTTTGATCAGCTACCACCCTATTGATGAAGGAAGTTTTTAATTAAAAATATAAAATCATTAATAAGAGTATGACAATTTTTAGCTAACCAATTAGCTAGACAATTAGCTTCTCTATATATAAAATTAGTCAAGATAGACTTATCTTTGTTGAGTAAATTTTTTATATCATCAATGACTTCCTGATAAGAATTGGTGGAAGTCTCATCTCTAACAACCAGATTTATAGCTGTAGCACAATTTGAGAGGAGCTCCACATTATGCAAGCCGTGAAACCATCAAAATTCCAGTCCCATCTGGATCCCAATTAGCTAAGCGATTGTCGGTGGAATGTCGCCCAGTTTGCAACAAAATCCCAAGACCCGATTAACCGGTGTGTCTCCGATCATACCAGTTTGCAGTTCACTTCACTTTTTATTTTACTCCACCTCGCAAGAATTCTCCTGAGTTCCGAGCCCTCAAGCTTTGTTTATTGCATTACATACACAAACATATCTCAATAAGACAGACTAATCAAATCACACTTTTTTAATAAAATAATTATTTATTTTTAAATTAATTTCATCTTTTTATATTTACTCCTATATAATAAAATATTTTATCTAAAATAAATATAAAATAATTTATTTAATATGAGCACTTAAAAAAAGATAATGATTATATCTTTAAAAATAAAAAATGTGTTGTATTATTGAATATTAACCCATTTAAAAAATATCTTATATTTTTAAACAAAAAATAATATATATATATATATATATATATAACCATCTTGCACCCTATTCGTATATACCCAACCTAAAATCTTATGTGTAAAGGCTCATTACCCTTGTACTAACTACTAAGAAACATGTGGGGTAGCTTGTTACTTTGTTTTATTAAATGGAATGAGTAGGATTTCTAGAGCAAAATGTCAAATCTCAAACAGCACGAACTGAGGATGGTGTTTGCAATTTATGACTTTGTAATATTAAGTTCAGATCAGGAAAATAGAATTTCATTTACTTTCAAAGAAATATGACTATATTCTCTCCGTCTATTAATAAAAACAAAAATTTTATATGGTTCTTGCAAAAAAGTAATTTAAATTAGCACAAATATTAAGTATTAGTTACAAGGACATTTTAGTGTAAATTTTTCAATTTCAGACATAATTATTGAAATTAATAAGTTTTTAAACTGTGCGGGTTAATTAAAATTTACTTGTCTTTAAAAACAGAGGGAATATTATACATTGTAATTAACAAAAGTTAGTTGAAATTATTATTATGTGGGTACTAAATACTGAGGGAAAGGATGACTTTCATGAAATTGTATGAAAAGAAAAGAAACAGCGTGGAATTTGCTTGGTTTAGTACATGGGCCTGGACCTTTTTCATCATGACTTAGACTTAGACATCACTTAATCAATCTTTTCATTTTTAATCCATTAGGCCCGAAACACTTTTGAAAGATTAAACATATAATTAAAAAATTAATACGAATATAACCAAAAATGAATAAATAAACAAATACAAATCTATCTATGAAATCTGGTAATTGGTGGGATAGGAAAAGATGCAAGATTCCTCAAAACAATGCTTACTAAGGTAAAAATACATATAAATAAGTGGATATAAAAATACCAAAACCAAACGTTACAAAAGACAATGTGATCAACGCTGTATTGGTGATGCGCATGTAATATAATATTCAGCATTACATCACATAACACAATTGAACAAAGTAACTTTTAACCAATCTATCAGAATTTTCCGTATTCCTCATTGGAACACAGCCTAACAAAATAAATGACACAACTAAGCTTCATTCAGTACCTTAAGATTTTTTTGTTTAATGAATAAGGCGGATGGTTAACCCAAATGAAAAATGAAAGAGAAAACAGAAATGCATGTTTGATTTGCTGATTTGATGGTAAGCCACAAAATTTGTTAATGTGATGTTTGCCTGTGTAGTACGACTAATAACGTGTTCAGTAAGCAATAAACAATCAAACACTAATAATAAATAATAATAAGAGACGTCAAATTATGTTTGTTTAATTTTAACCTAATTAGTGGTATAACTTAATCAACCAGACAATTGGCAGATACAACTACTACTACTATTTCCATGCCTTCCTCTCTCAGCACTGACACGTACCTCCCTTACCAACATCCCAAAAATATTACCCACATCAAAACAAAACATCAACGTCTTGAAAGTAATTTAATTTTAAAAAATAATAAAATCTCTCAAATTATATAAATGATAAGTTAGTTCTTCAAAATATCATAATTTCACTAAAGTTTTCAGAAACTTTATGTCAATAAATTTTAAAATAAAAAAATTGTTTTACCTCATTAAAAAACAAATCCTAATCACAACTTTATTTAAGGAATAATAACTTTTGTTTTATAAATTGTAAGAGTTGAATAAAAATTATAATTTTAAGTGTAATTTCAGTTATTAAAAATAGGTCTCAATCATAACTTTTACTTAAGAAATAATAATCTTGTATTGTGAATTGCAAGAGTTAAACAAAAAATTATAACTTGTTAAATGTAATTTTATCATTAAAAATAAGTTCTCCAAATAACAAACTTCATTTAATGAATAATATTTTTTATTCAAAAAATTGCAAGAATTGAACATGAATCACAATTTGTCAACAAATGTTAAATAGTCTTTTCAATTTAAAATTTATTCACACAGAATTTGAATAGATTGTCATAATTTGGAAGATTTTATTGTTATTTTTATTTTAATTTTTTAAATTTAAAAAACTTATCTGAACAAGCTTTTTTATTTTCTTAAAATTGAAATAAATTTTTAAAAAATGGAAATCAAGTACATCCTAAATAACTTTTTTTTTTTCGGGGCGTGAATCGAATTTAAGTAAATTAAATTACTTGTCTTGATCGAACAATTAAAAAGATTGAAATTCTTCTCGTAGCACACGCTTTAAGTTTATACTTTATAATAGATGGATGGATGTATGAGTCATATAATACTGCGATTTTATTGACTAATAAGATTACCAAATGTGTTGCAACTACAAAATGATACGACCGAAACCATACATGAGTTAATATTATTAATATACGCTATAAAGTTGAAAACATCATGTAAAAATTGAATAATTTGGGTGGCTCAAAGAGAAGGGTATGCCCACATAATTTCAACTCGAAGAATCATTCCCACCTGAGAGAATAAGATATTACAATTAAGAAAACAAACCTCAATCATTTGAATTTGTCATGGTTTTAAAAATTTGATTGGATCAGATAGTTGGATCGGTTAGACCGTTGACTGAACTGCTAATGACCCAGTTTAAATCAAAAAATTATTTTTTTAATTGAGTCGGATTAAATTAAATCAAAGTTAAATTTCCATCAAACCAAAAATTAAAACAGGTCTAAACATAAAACAAAAATGTTAAAAAAATTCTGCAGTAAAAGCATATTCATTCAAAATTATTTTCGTAACATTCAAAAGACTAAATTAATTATAGGTCGGAGAAATCTAAAACATACTTTAAAAAAAATATAATACTACTCTTGCAAATTGTGGGGGTTTTCTTCTTTTTCCTTTGCAATTTCTGCGGGATTGAAAGAGTCCAAAACAGCACATGGAATGATAGCTTCCGTGAAAATACGAAGGTCCTATCATGTGGGCTGTGAATACTATAGTCTATATCGCATTGTTATAGAAATCGGACTGGCCTTAAATCGATCAAAGCCAGTAAAATAGGTTGAACTTATTATTTTGTATTTTTTTTTATAATTTATATTTTTGAATTATAATTTATACATATTTATATCTAATAAACATTATGAAATGAAAGAATATAAAAAATATATATGAATTATGTATGTGTGTGTGTATATATTAAAGTTATAAATTATAAATAAGTACATATTTGGATTAAAATGGTGTAATATTGATAGATATTATTTTTTTATTTTATATTATTTTGTTTGAAATTTAAATATTTATTTTTGTTGCTATATATGATTATTTCTTTATACTTTAAACATATAATATTTAAAATATATTAATTTGTTCATGATTAGTTGGATCATGATTCAGATAATGAGTTGACTAATGAATCATAAATTAGTATTTTGATCAATTCAATTTTCATGATATTGTTATATAATTTCTATTAGACACAAGTATCAGAATATATTGCAAGTGGACATTTTTATTTTAACCTTGAAATGCTTGTGAACATAAAGCCAAAGTCACGATGACCCATGACCAAGGTTTTAAAAATTAAATTAGTCATTGATCTGGATTAGGCATTGGTTCATAATTTATTGATTCAATCTTAGGTGTACCATGGTTACACTAGTTGACATTAAATTAATATATTTTTAATTTATGAATCATAATTAAATAAGAAATACATATAAATATTTATATTTTTAAAAAATATTAATAAATTCTTGATAAAATGATCTATTGTTGATGAATACATGATTAATATTAATTATAAATGAAGTTTTTTATTTGAAAATTAAGAAAGACATTGATAAAATGATAATGTTGGATATTTTTTGAATGCATATTTAAGTTAAATTTAAGAGATCAAATTTAAATAAAAATATAAATAAATAATAAAAAGTATAAGTACTAAATAGATGTGTTTAAACTGAAAAAAAGTTTCAAAGATATAAGGGCAAAAAATAAAACAAAGTCATGGAAAAAAAAAATAATGAGAAAGAATGCATTAATGTGTGCGCAACAATAGTTACTATGATTCCATGCAGTCCCACATCGCTTAAATCAAAAGGGAAGTGAGGAGAGCGCCCCAAACGTTAGCGGCTGGAGCTTCAATTTTGTAGAA